CATCTGAAGTCAGATGAGGGAGTTGGAACAGCCAGTTCATCTGTGATGGCTTTGTAGACCCTGATCTGCCTGCTGGTGAGCTGGGTGGGGACAGTGTCCTCCAGGAGAAGGGCTGGGGGTCCTGCTGGGGCTCATCCACGGACACAGCCCCTCTTCCCTGGAGCTGACTCCCCTCATTTTGCAGATGCAGAGCATCCCTGACCAAACATCAGCTTCTGGCTCAATCCCCTCTGCCCGTGACTTTGGAAAATTTAATCCCACAAATCCTCTCCAGTTTACTGAAATCTCACTAGTGATGAAAGAGCACCAATCACAGGCAGGGCCGAATTTGTATTCTCTGTACTTTGATTAAAATCTACCAGTCAATACCATTTGGACACACACTACAATGAGTGTGCAAAGATTCCCCTCCCCCTCCCCCCAAAAAATAGTTATCTGGTATAATTTTATGATAGAATATTTTTATAAAATCATTTGTACTAATTTAAGCATTTATCATTATATGCAAAAAGATTTGATGAGAATATTATAGACGGTGCATGTTTTTGACATTAGCATTTTATTTGGATGACTAATCTTGCAGATGTGAAATTTTAATGAATTATTCATGAAAAATCTCTCCTCTGAAATTTCAGTTTGCTGCTAATGCTAGCTATTAAACATTTTATTTTTCTTTACAAAACTTGATGAGGAAGATAAATGTGTGCTTACTCGAAAGAAAAAGGTGAGCTTTTCCTTTAGTTTGTCTCAGGTGATAGTGCCCCTTGGGAATTTGCTCCTCACAGTTTTGTGGACCAAGGGCTGCATCCTTTTGGCAGGGGTGCAGTGCACATTCCCAGCCCTTCCATCCAAAGCCAGCAGCACCATTCCCACCAGGAGGCTGCACTGGGAAGGAGCTGCAGGATGAAGACCCCAACCCCTTCCTTCAACCTTTGAAACAGACTCCAATGAGAAAGCAAATAACCCCCTGTGACCCCAATGTGAAAAACTGAAGGACTTCCTTGGAAAAGAGCATTAATTCCTTGAATGACAGTGCCTTCCTTGCTTCCAGTGCTCAGTACAGGCTGTCCATCAAAGCACCACTGAAATATTTTGTACTTGGACGTGGTTGGGGGAGACTCAAGGGAAGAGATGAGATTTGTCCATCCATGAATGAGCTGGGACTTGGATGAGATGCCCACGGATCAGGGACCATGGGATGCGACATCAGAGCCACTGTGAGGAGGGGGGGAACACAAAACAAGAACTTCGGACATGGCAACTTGCATTACCAGTGTGAACAACCAGCATTTTTATTGCATTTGAGAATGCTATAATGTCAGTAATTAGTACTGACTACACAACATTTTTTATTGTCTGTATCAACAGACATGGAATGATGGAATTACAGTTGATGTAAGGAATGAGTTTCTTTTATGCCTTATCAAAAAAAAAAAAAAAAAAAAAAATACACGAAGCACCATGCTAACAGTCTGGACTGTACCATTTTCATCAAGGCTTATGGGTAGAAGATACTTGATTACCTGTTCTGGGCCCATTAGAATGCAGTCCTGAACTGCAAATTCACCTCGCAAGACTAGAATACTAAATGACTTCTGAAACATCTAAAAAATCACTCTGAGTTCATTAACCAAAGGTACCAAAGGATTTCAAAAGAGTTTAAACACGTTCGGGTTTGGTTTTTTTTTTCCATGCTATAATGAACGTGAGATTATTGGCGATCTGAAAACTACAATAGTTCAAAATTATTTTAAAAAACTTTATATATATATATATTTATGTATGTATATATATAAAATATCTAATGATCTGCAATATTTGTAGAACCAGCATCCCTGCCCCAGTCTTTCCCCAAAGCTGAGCTCCAGGAAAGGGGAGGTGCAGGACCTGCAGTGGGACTCTTGCGAGTGAGAATCAAAAAAGGTCATTTTTTTTGTGGTCACTTGTTCTACATAAGCCTTGATTTTATTTTTTTTTCATTTCACTTCTAGTTGAATGCAGAAACCTAACAGGTTTTACATTTACAAACTTTTTTTTTTTTTTGTGGACAAGGAAGGCTTTGACTCTCATTCCTGACAGCGATTTACCTGATACATGGTACTACTTTCATAATGTACGCTTTTCTTTGAGAAAAAAAACATGTAACAAATTGTCTTTACATCTTGGCACCTTGTAAAGTTTTTTTTTTGTTTTTTTATACAAAAAGTTCAATAGTTTGACACTCCCCATTATTAATCACTACTTCACTGATAAACTTTGAAAGTGTGACCCTGGAATTCATCATGCAAAATATTTACTGCAGCAGGAGAAAAACATTTTTTTTTTAAATGATTTTTTTTTTTTCATTTCAAATATATGAACTTTGTTTAAGACAGCCAGAAAAGGCAGTGGTAAGATAACAGAAGGGGTGGGAAAGTATCAAAAAAACCAGCTTAAACACAAAAACTGTACAAAAATGCTTCGATCAATGATAACAGGAGAAAAAAAATCTGTCAACTATGTTACAATTTAAAAGCTGAAAAAAAAAAGTCAGGGATTTTCTCCCACATGTCAGCAAATGTCATCCAATATTCTTAAAGCAAGGATAACTAAATAAAATACATGTGCAGCGTATTCTGCAATTCCATTACATACAGTAGTTTTTTTTTTTTCAAAGCTATTTTTTAGTATAGTTAATATAAAGCAGTTGCACAAAAAGCAAAAGGTGTTTTGACAAACAGGTCTGCATTTATTCCTTTTGAGGAATGATATCTAAAAAAAGGACCTTTCCACCTTTTCCTCCCTCCCCACCCTCCCCCCAAAAGACAAAGGCTCACACAGACACAGTGGGATATATATGTACAACATAATAAACCCCTCCCTAAAGAAGCAACTGTATATCCAAAGGGATACAGAATCAGAATTGTAAAAATCATAGTGAAGTTTGCTTGATGTAAAGCCTGAGATTTTCAGTTGGTTCTTCTGCAAGGCTGCAACACCTGCCAGATATGTTAAACTCTAATTTTTTGTTTCTTTTTCTCTTTTTTTAATTTTTTTTATTTTTGCTACAGTCTTTAGACTAAGCATGCAAGACATACAACTAAGTGCAACTGAGTGAAATGTATTTTTTATTTACTCATTCCCTAACAGTTTGGACTGAGGTATGCGTACTAACAGTTTCTCATGCTGTTATCTTTACTCATGTCTAGCTACACATGCTGAGAATGAACTAATCTACCAGATTTTTATCCCCCTTCTGAATACCGAACTAACCAGCAAACCACTCAGTTTCGAAGCACAGAGCTCAATTCTCATGATCCCTGTCTGGCTACCGCCGGCACGTCACGAAGCTGCCTGGATATAATTTAAACCAAAACTTTAAAAAAAAAAAAAAAAGAAAAAGAAAAAAAAAAAGTTTCCAAATGACCACAGACTGCCCTTTTTTTCTTTTTTTTTTTTTTTTTTTTTTTTTTTTTTTTTTTTTTTCTCTTTGTCATTTTGAAACAGAAAGCAGAGTGGAGTTTTATAAAAGTAACTGCCAATAAAATTTCTTGTACCAAAGCTTATGAGTGGACAGGAGTGTTATTTCCTTATGAAAAATGCTGACCGAAAACTAAACAAAACTGAGTAAATGTGCCAAGATCAACCAAAATTAAAGCAGTCATCCCAGCACAGTCCCGGAACAGAAGTGGCACACAATCTGTAGAACCAAAGACCAAAAACAATTTTTTTTTTAATTCTAGAAATACCATTATGTCGTCCAGTTAAATTGTGGGAGCTTTTCTGTTCTCTTCTGTGTTTTGTTAAACTGTCTCCTTTATCTGATACTCTAATTTTCCAAGAAATAATTGTGTCTTTGCTTTCTTCAGCTCCCTTCTCAATAGCTCCCCCAGTAACACTGATTCCTAGTTTTAACCTCAAAAGCTCTCCTCGATTCCTCTTTACAGACTTTCATTTTGGTCACTGTAAAGAATTGCAAATAAAAAGTAACAACTTTGGTTCAGACATCTACTTGGCCTTCTAAATTTTCTAGAATAAAGGAGCAGTTTCCCTCTCAGGTTAGCAATAGCCCACATCTTGTCATTTCCCTCTAAATTCTTCAACCTCCTTTGATCAACAATAAGAGGATATTTGGCTTCATAAGATAAAGCATATAACAGAGAACATAATTTACCTTTGTGTAATATCTTTGGTAATTTTAGGAAAAAAAAAAAGGTACAAAGAAGAATATAAATTAAGCTCTGAAAGGCTTTTCGAAATAATAAAAAAAAGCTACAGTCCTACATAAATAAATGAGTGACGGAGAAGTGGTTGCAGAATGAAAATGTTTAGGTGTTTGGTGACTGAGGTTTACTGACCTATCGCAACAGATTTTGTATGTCGTGTTTGCTTTGCAGAGCTTTGCCAGTTTTGCCTAACAAGCCCCGGCGCCAATTCTCTCCCAGCTCTCCCGACTCCTCCAGCGAGGTTTCCATACTGGCTGGTGTAATATTGCATAACAATCCTAACTGCAGTACTGGATTTGCACAGCTGAAAATTAACACTTTAGCATTAGTGGGGCCCCGTCCTTATTAACTCCCGTAACAAGTTCAATCTGAAATCTAATTTGTATTCAAACAGATTAACGCCACCAAGCAATCCTGAACTGATGTTCAACCGTGAAACATCACCACGAATGGTAACAATTTAAGGAAGTCATCTTTCCAACCACTATTTGCAAATGCAAATGTAAAAAAATAATAGGAAAAAAAAAAAATAAAGTTGTAATAATAAATGTTTAGGTGCCCATCTCGGTAATCTTAGATATTCCAGAATGATTTGTTGACCCATTAGATCTCGTGTTAAACAACCGAGAACCTGCCACTGTACTATTCATTCTCTACTAAAAGTGAACTCTGTTGGTGCTGCATATGTTTCTTTGTGCTGTTCAATTTTGTGGCATTTGCTAATATTCACCGTTGCTGCCAAAAAAAAAAAAAACAAACCCAAAAAAATCAAAAAACCCAAACAAAACAAGAATATATTAAAAATACTGCTTTGTGGAATGAATCTGTGTTGCTTCCTACAGTGTTTCTATGTTCATCTGTCATTCATTCTCATTCTTGCAGTACTTCGTTCCTCTCTCTCCGTTGGACAACCCTTCCACATGTATCGTGCAGCATTTGGGACCTCTTCAAAAAACAACAACAACGAAAAAGGAGACACCGAAATGGAATGTTTTCCATAGCTAAAGAAAACATGGTGGCATCTGAAGGAAACTGGAATGAATGACAGAAAAAACTACAAACAATTCAATGACATTCAGCTTCGTATAATAAAAACACCTATTAACATTCATCACAAAGTACAGAAAACGTTGAAGCCTCTGAGAGGCCCTGGGCCCAGATGAGGCCTGAGGTCAGAACTTAAAATGGTAGAGGAGAAGTGGGGCGAGGGAATAAAAGCAATACATTAAAAAGTTTGGGATAATTTTTTCTTTGAACCCCACCCCGATATACACGCTCACACGCACACACACATACCCACACACGTGCACACACAGGCCTTCCCCATCCCAAATGGAAGCAAAAAAAAAAGAAAAGAAAAAAAAAAGGTAACCAACCAACGAAACAAAAAAAAAAAAAATAAAATGGAGTAAAGGCAGTGATAATCAACATGCAGTACTGTGCAAATATGTTGTCCATTGGAATCCTTAAAATCTGGGCAAAGACTTGATCTGCAGTTCAGGTGTACATGCTCAGTTTGATGTCCTCAAGTGTCCAAAATTGGCAGGACCTGCAGTCCACTGCTGGCTGCTAAATGCAAGTGAATCAGTTTAGCAAATTTACAACACTGATGTTGACTGTAAGAGAGGAAAATCCCAAGTACCAAACAAGTCCATCCAATGCACAGAGTACAAATTCCTTTTTTCAACAAAAAGTAGAAAAATCAAAAATACTCCCAAATGGGATACTTGATGGCACTAAGAGTTAACATATTTCATAGTTGTCAAAGTGGACTGAGAATCCTCCAGACTGTACAATAATGGAGAGATTTCACAGCTAAGTTTGACGTGTTCTTCCAATCTTCATTCTCAGGATAACGATGTCAGACATACTCATTCTATGTCCTCATTTACAGGTTCATCTTCATAATCTCTGTCGTGATCAAAATCTGGACTGTGGTTGGCTGTTGTCACTAAGGATAGTGGGCCTTCATTTTCATCTGGGTCCAATGGTTCTTCTTTGACATGCACGGGGTGCCTGGGAAAACAAAACAACAGACAATCAGCAAGCTGCTCATGAAAAGATGGTTTTGACAGCTCAGGTTGTCTGGGGAGAAAGGTGAGGTGGTTTGAGGGGCTCAGACCTGGAGGGCCAGGTCTGAGAGCTCCAGGTCACCAGGGAGAAGACCCCCCAATGTCTGTACTGGCCCCAGCTGCCAAGCCAAGCGCTATCTCCCAGGTAACAATCAACAGAACAAGAGTAAACAGCCTCAAGTTGCCCCACAGGAGGTTTAGGTTGGATACTAGGAAAAATTTCTTCGCTGAAAGAGTGACCAAACACTGAAAGAGGCTGCCCAGGGGAGTGATGCACCCAGAAACCTTCAGAAAACACGTGGATGTGGCACTTAAAACCTGGTTTAGTGGTGGGCTTGGCAGTGCTGGATTCAATGATCCTCAAGGGCTTTTCCAAGCTTAATGACTCTAAGATTCCATGAAGGCTGTGCGAGGCAGGCAGCACTCAGCCTCCCCGGGAAAACACTCTGGGAGGAGCACCTCGATAGGGTTTCTATCTTGGGATAGAGAGAAAATGCTCTCAGCTGACACATTAAGTTAATATGATCTTTGGATAAATAAGTGGAATATGCATCCGAAGGGGAAGGCAGCGGCCTGCCAAGGCCTCCGCGCGGCGCGGGCCGGGCTAATCATCCTCGCTGTGTGTGCAGCGTCTCTCGTTAACATGCAGAACCTGTGAGACAACTCTCCAGAGGACGACCCCAAGTGAGGTTCTATCATTAATCAACTTCAAGCAAACACAGCGAAGAGACACCATGATACATGCTTTAAACTCCAAATTAATGCATATTTTTACAAACTGTCAATAAGGGAAGAAAAGCCCTGCCAGGAAACACAAACAGAGAGGAAAAGGCTCGCTCAACACAACAATATGATAAGAAAGCACAGTCCTAACGAGAATAATAACACTGTCAGCTGTAAACAAGGCAGAACATGATCCTCAGCTCATGGTGGGCACAAGGATGTACTAAAGAGATGAGATCTGCCAAATTTCTCATTACAGCAAAGCACATGAATAACCCGCAGGGGAACGGGGCTTGGTCATTCAAAATGGGTATGATAACAATTGAAAAAATGTTGTTCGTAAATCATATTTACAACAAATCCTATACAAATACAGATTACCTTTTTTTACCTCTTTTTTTTTTTTTTTTTTTTTTGTTCAGCAGCTTTTGAAATGTAAAGTAGCCATGTGAGTCAATAGTGTCTTGTTGGTGGGACTTTATAGGAAAGTAGGATTTTATTGACATTACCAAGTATTAATAATGCGACACAGTGATGGAGACCCTGTTTGCTTCCTAAATAATTGATGTTGTAGGCAATCCCTTAAAATAAAGTGTTAATGAGTTCAAGTCCCACTCTGTCTCTCATTGAGTTGATATCCACCGCCAAGACTCCTGTTTTTTTTCTCTGCGCAGGCTGATTTAACCCTTTCACAAATGCAACATGAACACACAGCCTGAAGCACACACCTTCACTGTAAGAACTTTTCCTCTGCTTGCACAGCTTTGCTTTAAAATGAATGATTTAAAATACCTGCATTGTATTTTATGCTTTGTGTGGATAGGAATGACAGCACTGTTTGTACTCCACTGCATGGACAGACAGCAAGGATAAATCACTGGGCAGGGAAAATGTACTCAGCATCCACAGACAGACCAAATCCAGCCTTGCTTACTTCAAGTGAGCCAGTTGTACCCCTGTACCCTATTTCTTTATTTAGGCTTGAGCCCGGATCAGTTTAGGAAGCATCCAGCTTGCTGACTACAGGCAATTCTAATGTGTGCTGCGAATGCCTTTCAAGTCCCTGCTTGTTTCAACTTTTTGAGTTGTAAAGTGCTGGATCAATACTTAAGTATTAACTGCACCTTCCAACTCATCCAAAGAAACGCTGGGGAGAAGTGATGCAGTATCCATGTACACACACACCTTCTCCCTTCGAATCCATTAATATATATCCTATCAACACATCTCTGGGAGTGAAGAGGTTCCTCAGCATGTCACGTAGTTTTTGAAAAAATTACACACTGAGAGCACAGCTCATACAGTTTTAACCTAACTAGTGAAAAGGGAGGGGTAAAGAAAAGAACTGGAAGAAGACAATTCAAGGGTCAGAGGTTAAGAATTGGCATAAACGTGTAAAAGTCTTGCAAGCAGATTTTCACGTTGGAGGTGTGCATGCGCTACCTGTCCCAGCAGTTCATGGCCTCAGTGAGTATTAAACTATGCTGAATACCTGCAACTAAAAAAACTTAAGTATTATGAATAGGCTGTGGGGCCCCTCACTTGGGAGAAAACATGAAATGAAAAACAGAAGAAAAAGGGGGAAAGAGCGGCTGCACTGAGAGCCCAATAAAGCCTGTGCTACTCGGCCTTTATGGCAGTGATCTTTTTTACTGCTCTTTTAATGTCAAAGTCTTGCTTTTTTGCTTTCTGGTTTTGATGCTGCTGCTGCTGGGCTTATTTATTTTTTTTGAAGTATTATTTCTGAAAACACAGAAGGGAAATTTTCAAAGGGGAGAGAAGAGCAGATGTCACGTGCAGCGGAGAGGCCTTGGGACGTGGACTGGAGTTTCTCCAAAGTCTGCCCAGTGTCCCAGTGCATGGCCACACCACCTCAGGTGCCAGCAGGTTTAACAGGGGCTCACTGTGCTCACAATCACTCAAAGTGCTGTGTTTCAAAGACCCCCAAACCTTTCCAAAGCAAACTCTGCCCGTCTTCTGGTTTTCTTATGAAACCAGGTGAAACAAGGTGGTTTTAACTGAGGTTCTCTTTGAGGTTTGGTGTGACTCCCAGAGGTCAAAAAACAAAACTTGAGGTGTGAGAAGCAACCAAGTTATGAAAAGCTCTGCTCGACCCTGGGTGAGACAAAGCCAGAGAGGGCCACAAAGCCACAGGGTGCAGTCACACCAGCCTCTCCCAGCACCTCCTGTGCTGCACAAACATCAGAGAGTGAGCTTCAGAAAATCTCCATCCCCTAAATGAGGAGGTTATCTGGGTAATACAACCCCCAGGGATAGAGCTGCAAGGGGGGAAAACAATGCCAAAAAATTCCAACTCCTGGTGTATTCTGTCAGCTGTAACCACAAAATGGCATGTGAGGAGGAAACCTTCTCAAATCTGTGATTTTTCTCAAACATTTCTGAGCGACTGCAATAAATAAGCTCAAATAATCTTCAAGGCAAAGGGAGACTTTCATATCCTCTCAAGTTAAGTCTGAATTTCTATTTACCACCTCACCAAATCCTCAAAATGGGGAAGGAAAACTTCCTTTAGAGACTGAAGAATCCAGTCTGCTGAATTACAGAAAAGGTAAATGCTGGGTTAAGCAAAAAGAAAAAGAAAGGGGGGGAGGAAAGAAGGCAAAGAAAAGAAAGGGTTTCCCATTTCTGTTTTTACAGCAGCAGAAATTCAGAACATTCCTTTTAAGTAGATGCCTGGGACTCCAGAAGGGGTTAACAATAAATAACCTTGCTGAACACAGATTCCCCTTCTTTTCACAACTGAGTAATTCTTTTGTTTGTCCACTCTGGGAACAGAGGAGTTTTTAATAAAGCTGACTGTTGTTTAAAGCCACTGAGTTCTGGTGGTGCACACAGCATGGAGTAGTTTGCTTTGTGGCTACCTTTGGAGCATATCAGGATGAAAGTGTTATGTCCCCAAGCTGTAATTATGCGACTACTTTCTAGTATTTCAAAAGGAGGGAGAGAGAAGGGAAAAAAAACCCACCCTAGCTGTGGTTCAATGTGTCATAAAAAGGAAACGAATGAGCAGTAATAAGACTTCAGCTAAAGTGTTAGACTTCTTAGCTGTCATGTTAACAAGGTCCTTTAAACCTTACAATAAAGTTTAAAACTTGGTTTCTTCCAATACACTGAAATTGTTTAAAAAATAATTTGCATTATGACAAGGAAATCTGTTCTGAGAAAAAAAAATGAACATGTTGTTAACAAAGCAGGAGCATGGAAAATAAAAAGGTTTCACAGCGTCTGTGAAGTTGCTGTTGACTCATGATTTTATTTAGTAAACAGGGTAAACCCTATGACGTGTGAATGGTGTTCTGCCTTTAGATCCCTTCCAACTACTTAGAAACACATTATAGTGGGGAAGCTCTGAGGCTGGTATTGGAATATCACCCAGCCACATTTTACTTAAGCAAAAAGAAATGTTCAGCAGAGAACACATATATTATCAATTCTGAGAAAATGAAAACACTCAGGAAACAATCATTTCCATATTACAACAGAAAATTGGATTTTCTGGTGAATAATGAAAATGAGGCATCACTCCCCCCAACCTCCTCTCTTCCACTATTTGTTCTGTGCCCCTCACCTTGGTATCAATGTGCTAAGAGATGATTATTAAGTGCAACAAAGGCCACAGCTATGCACAGTTCTGGAAGATGTCCTAGCCTGTTTCAACTTGGTTATTTTTCCTTCCTCTCAGTTTATTCAAAGACAAGGAAACCTTAGGTGAAATGAGAAGTGCATGAACTACACTAGCCTTGAACTTGCAAAAAAATAATTACTTGGATTAACGCAACATCATAAACGTTCATCCTTGTCTGTTAGGCCAGGAGAAACCCTTGGGAGAAGTCTTGTTTCTTGAGAAAAGTCATGTCCCTCCACTCCTCCCTCATGCCAGCCCTGCCTGGTCACAGGCAGAGGATAACAAATTGTGACTAAAACTGCCTGGAGATGAATCCGTCTGCGAGAGACGGAAAGTGTGTCATGCAACGTTACTTTGGGAGAGATAATTAATACTGCACAAACAATCACTGGAAAAGCTAAACACATTATTTGAATGTTTTGAAGTAAATGGTAAAAGACAATGTTTAAATTAATTATTAATTAAAAATGAATGTTGCCATCTTTAAAGATTTTTTTTTCAAAGCACTTTGTGCACTGATTTAAAACACAGCAATATCAAAGTATCCAGAGCCTCAGATTCCTTCGTGCCCCCTCCCCTCTGACAACACATTATGCAGGTGGGAAACTTTTTTGCCATTAAATGCTAATTAGTTTCACAACTAATTACTACCGTGGTATTAGGTTAATGTTTTTTCTACTTTTTGATTTAGACTTACTTTTGCAAATCCCTTATTCAAATTACTTTGAAGTGGAAGACTGCAAATTAGTTCTCTTTTTTAATGTGTAACGTGAGCCCTGGCAAGCCAGCCAGTAATTTTACAGGCTGTTTTAAGGAGCAGGGGGAAGACGGGCAGCACGGTCACTCACAGGTACCCAACTGCTCCGCCGAGCTTTCGGGAACGTCAGGACTTGTAAACTCCGGCTTCCTCACCAGCCGCCAATTACCCGGCGTGTGATGTGAGGGGAGGGGGGAGTTTACAGCTTTGCAAACTCACTCCTGTCACCCCATAAATACCGCACACACCCATCGGGGCATCACACCCTTCCTGCCTTACCCCTTCCTGCGCCCGCCCGCTGCCCGGGTGCCGCTCACGTGGAGCGGGGCCGGCGAGCCCCCGTCACTTCATGTGGTTATAGACGCGCTCATTACGCTGCCGTCTGTTGCTATAATGCCCCTATTAATTCTCCTTTTGATATTTTAAGAGCAATCTATAAATCACACAGACCTTCATGCTAGTGCTTAGCAAGACTGTTTTGTGTTGAGTGGTTTTTGTTGTTTTTTTTTTTGGACCCGCCAAACGAGCCCATTTCCCAGCTCTGCCCCACGGGCCGTGCTCATCGCGTAAACCAAAGGGGAGAGAAATCACAGGTTTTCTCCAAGAACTATCACTGCCTATGAGATTTTGCAAGGTTGAAAGAAGAGGACTGCAAAAGACAATTTTATACTGAACAATTTTACAAAAAATTGAAAAAAAAAATCAAAACGGAATGATTTTATAGCCCTGTGTCCTTCTTGGACTGGATTGTGCTGCCCAGTTTTATGCAGAAACTGGTAAACGGCTCTTTCATGTTCTAACCACCCTACACACATCCCCAGATGGGGTAGATGTCTGCTCTTGCTGCTCCATCCATGAAGCTCAAGGAAGGAGCCAGGAGTCCCCAGAGTCACCCTTGAGCAGATGGTAGGACAAGAGCTAGAGCCAGCACGCGCCTCTGCTGTACTTACATCGCTTGCATAGGGGAACGTCCTGGACTGCTGTCACTCCCGTTACTGTTCGTATGCTCCATTGCACCATTGAGCTCTTCCCTCATCGCACTGGCTAAATTGCCCAGAGTGGGATTTCCCATGGAAGCAGTAGTGTATAGAGGTATACTGTTCTCAGCCATTGAAGCCTGCCAAGGACATAAACAAATCCATGAAGAGCCATGAGTAACATTTTTATACATTGCACAACACACTCACCCGTTCCAAAACATTCTCTGCATTTACATTATTTGCAATTACAGGTTCTTTTAAATATTGTACTTTCTGATAGGTATTACCCCGGTTCCATCAAGGGAAATTTAACATCATTTAGATCTGGGTTTAAGGATTCATAGCTGTATTGGCTTGTAAGAGGATGGAGTCTTCCATTCCCTATTTGGAATTACATACCCTGGAAAAAGAAAATGTCCTTTCCCTACTTTTGCTTCATGAAATTATGTTTGGGGCTTTGGGGTATTTTTTGTGGCTTATGTTTGGGCTTTGTTTCTAATGAAATGGGGAAAAAAAATGGAACAGGCTCAGCTGGTAACTCCTTCCCACTGGAGTGAGCAGGCACCAAGCAGGAGTGTAGCATCACCGAGTCTGGTTTTCCTTGGGACATGTGTGAGGCTGCCATCAGCACTAACCGGATCAGAGCTGCACCAATATACCTGAGAGCTGAACCACTCTATGTGGAATTTTTTTAAACCTCAGCAATTCAATTCTTACCTTAGCTGTTACAGGTCTATTTTATTTTGGTTTTTCCCTTTTTTCTAAGGAAACACCGTGCAGCGGCACACTGGAGTTAACTTTTTAAATGGAAATCTTTGTAGGAAGAGAATGAACTGTTAAATATTTTCCTTCTGATTCCCACCGTTCTGCCTGCTAATATTTACTGTGTGTCAGCATTAGCTCATGTTGACAGCACAGTCCCGGCCCGGCGCAGCAGCGGTGGGAATGCAGAAACCCCGAGCCCCGGAGGAGCCCAGTGTTTGGTGGGGATGGGAGGCACTGGAACGGGAGGGAGGCACAGGGATGGGAGGCACAGCTTTCTGAGGCAGTAGTGCCCAGGGACTGGAAGGACATTTAACCATTTCGTCCATCCCAGCCGGATCTGGCTGACATCATCTGCGGCTCTCCGAGCCGTGTCAGCGCCGGGCAGCCACAGACGCTGGCTCGGCATCACTTGACCTGCTCTGGGGAGAGGTCAGCTGGCTGCAGTGGCCCAGCAAAAAAATCCATCAGGCTGGGGCTGCATGATGCAAACCTGGCCTGTGGGAGGGGAATCCATGCAAACATACTCCTCACCAAACACTCTCGCCTGCTCCTATTCGTGGGACAAAACTCAATTGCTGCCAAGCTGGCAGTTCTTCCCAGGCAAGAGACAGGGTGGGGGGAGAGGGGATGGGAAGGGAGGGCAGGACCAGCCTTCACTGCAGCACCTCCAGGAGCACAGCCCCTTTTATTCTTCCTTATGTTGACCTCTCCATGTGCAGCCCTATGTGTCACACGTGATTACAAAAGCTATTCTAACGGGGAGGATTATTTTTATCTTCTTGATTCAACAACCGGCAAACTCATTGTGATTAGGGGATGCAAAGAATGGTTCACATTTCCTGCACTTGGCAAAATAATGACTCAAGTTCTTCACCCACAGTGATAACTTGTAATTGCAGTAAAGCAATTTACAGGGGGAGAGGTGGGACACAAGGAGTATCTGCTAGGAAGACAGTAATAGGGGAGGGGGTGTTTTGGGAGCCCCTGTTGACCCACTGGCAAGAGAGAGAACTGGTGAGAGCTGGAGTCCCCGTACCTTCCACAGACAGAGTGGGGAGAGAGCTGCTTCTTCTCCCTGGCCACGAGGGAAAACAGATAGAGGAGATGTCAGCAGGGTCTGGGTGAAGGAGAGGGGAGGCTCTGCCACCCCACAGGAAAAGAAACCACAGCCTGCCATGCTGGCAGCACACAGCCCGCGTGTGCAGACCCCACAGATCACGGGGATGTGCAAGGAGCAGGCCTTCGCAGAGCCCACAAAAGCTGGGGGGAACATTGCTCATTCATTATTAATTAGACTGACTGTAGGCCCTGGCAGGTAAGGCAGCCTTGTGTCCTTGAGGAATTTGCTGCCCAAGTGAGGTCCCAAATGCTCACATGGCAGTGGTCACTGGCACAATTTTCCCAGACTCTCTACAGCCCCAGAGAACCCACTGGGACTTTGCCTCCAAAATCTAATGGCAGGGAGAGAAGTGTGGAATCTGCTGGTGTGTTTTCACCCTAAAAGAGGACCAGCCCCAGTGCAGAGGTTATTATTCATCCCCATTTATTGGAGGGGTGACAGTGGCAGCACATCTGGCCCAGGCTCCTCTCTCCATCAGCTCAGCTATGGGGGGGCACAAGGACGTGGCTCTCCCAGGAAAAGTGGGGATGGAAACAGTTTGGAGGTTATCACGAAAGACAAGAATGGATGGAGATGACGACAACGACACGTGTTTCAGAAATAAAACACGAACAGTTCCATATGATAAGCATATTAATTGAAATTAGTCACATAGTTAACAATGTGAAGAAATGCAGGATCATTTCATTTTTGCCTTTCAGCCTCATGAATGTAAAATGTGCTTGTAATCTTAATACTATTCAGGAGACAAAGCAGTCTTTAAAAATCACACTTCACAAGACTCAAGGGAGAATAAGTTACTAATGAATGGTATTTACAGTTGCTTCATTTAAACATGCTTTCCTGGGCTTTGCAGGAGTTACTGCATAAACTCAAAAAATTAGAAGAAAGGCAAAACAACATTTTTCTCCTAATGATTTGTTTCTTGGTTCTGAAAAGAGAATTCTACTAAACCTTCCACAGAACTTGACTGCCCAAGCAAATACCCATGGCCATCAGTGAACTTCTTGAGGAGTGACCCCCAAGAACCACCTGGGGTGCAACCGTGCATGGTGTTGCCTCCTGGATTAATTCACAGTATATAAACCAGGTTTGAACCCCCAGACAAACACACAGACCCCACTACACATCAGGACATGGTAATGCATTTGTATCGTAGGTTTACACAGATAACACTGACTTTACTTGGGTTTTTTGAGATCGACTCAGGAATTTACTGAAAGGGGAAAAAGGCACAGGAAAAAGGGCACAGGAAAAAGGGCTGGAGACATGCACATTTTTAGGCTGCAAGTTATTAATTCTGCACCCACACTTTGTGTGTTTCTGCATCGTGAAAAAACAGAATTTTTGTCTTACGATTACAGTTTAAACCAATAAAAATTATCTTTTATTTTCTATAGGAATTGCGCCGTTTATTTTTTACCAACAATAGGAAGATATGCAAAAATAGCCCTTAAAAGAAAAGGGGGAAAAATGATCTGCTTTCTCTTTAAAGCCATGAACAATAGAAGGTCACGTGCCGCAGTATCCTATCATTCAGCACATTAATAGCTGTGCTAGAGTAATTACACTTGTGGTATTTTTGCCTCAAGTGAAATTCTGAAATAAGAGGATGGAAATTATGATACTGCTGATAAATATTAATAAGTGAACTTTTAATTTTTTTGCCACAATATTCAAAATGCTAAGCATCTAGCTAATGCTGAAGCAGCCTGATATGTGTTTGCCTCCAGGGACTATGATGCTTTATGCACTTAAGAAAAAAGTTTAACGGAATTAAAATTTAATATCTAATTAGAGCAAGGCTAATATATTTTGAAATGAGTGGGAAAGACACACGCCTCTGTTGCATATTTGCTACAGTCATTAATCTTACCTGTAAAGCAGCATTGAGAGGTGTGCAGTAGGTGTGGCTGGTCTGTATGTTTTTAATAAGAGAAGGGTTACTGCATAAGAAAAACATAAAAAGGAGAGTTAAATGCAACCAACTTCTGTGTTAGCGTTTCAAGCACGTAATGCTTCCTCCCCCACCAGAAAACTAGAGCTGAGACTGGTTTTCCACACGAGTTCTCTTTCGTTTCTCATTTTGTTTTTTTTAATTTGAAGAAAATATCTGAGTTTTCGGCTATGGTTATCATATTTGCCTTTACTAAATAAGGAACATCATTATCTCTTGACGTTACCTCGCCATGTGTTCTACTACCCTGCGTTAGTGGCACATCTTGGCATCTCTGCTCATTTTAGCTGTGTTCGGGAGAAATTTTCCAATTTTCGTCGTGTCTGGGAGCCCGTTACCATGTGAAGGTCCATCGTGAGGAGGCAGTGATCAAAAGCATCACGGGACATTTTAAACTCTGCTTCATCCAAATGACTCTCCAGGTCGCTGGCAGCGGAGTTTCTCCCAGTGGAGGGGAGGGGGTCTCTCCCAATGGAGGGGGGTGCCACGATGAGAGAGGATTTATTTGATCCATGTTATTTCCTGCCATGCCAGTGGCCACAGAGAGGGGCTGCCCACACCATCGCCCCAAGCAGCCTCACGGAGACTCAAGGGCAGGTGGCCCACAGAAACCACCACGCTGCCCTGAAGGCCATTTTTAGTAAGAAATATTCTGGTGTGCTATACTGGACCCTTATTTTTGTCAACTTCACATAAGGGGTCAGATTTGAGGAAAAGGAATGGGCTCTCTCTTTAGGAGGCATCCCAGTATCACTGGTTCTATCAGGAGATTAAAAAAAAAAAAAATTAAAAAAATGAAAAAGAAACTAGGTAAAAAAATGCCCATGCAAAATATCTCCCAAAAGTTTTATCACTCATTGGGCATGTTTTTATTTTAATTTCATTCACATGGGAATAAATTATGGTGAGCAGAATCTTAACTTAATTCCTTGCACAGGGACCAGCAAGGATCAGTTGTCCAGGAGAAATGGCCTTCAAGTAAAAGTCAAAGAAAATTCCTCTGGGAAGCCCAGGAATATTGGTGCAAGGTTGTTGTAGGCACATGATGGCCTGTTGGTAATCTTTACAGCTGGTCTCACTGCATTTTCAAACTCTTTAAAGTGAATTCAGCATTCCTGTCTTGCAAGTACCTTACTTTTTTTGATTATGAGTTGCAAAACAAAGCATACAATTGAAAGCAAAGGAAAATATCACAATTCAAACTTATCTGAAACCTTTCCTGGCATATATCTGTCTTCCTGACACGTCTACAGCAGTATATCTGTGCTAGCGTGGATAATTATCTTAAGTCTACATTGCTCTATAAATAAATGTTTTAACAAACATGTCAGAGTAGAGTTTTTACTACAGGCATTTGGATTATCAGAGTAGGACACACAAAATACACATAACAACCAAAAATTTAGTTTCTTTAGCAGCAAAGGTGATGACACTATTTTGTGAAATGCAAGTCTACATGAGATGGGTAAATCATGCAAAGCAAAGCAACAGCAGAAAAAAAAAATTAAAGCAAGTAAAAGCTCTTACTGTGCAACAAGCTCGCCAAAGTTTTCATCAGGGCAGTATTTTCGAGGACGGCCTCGTTGAATATGACGGCCACGTTTAAACTCTTCATCATCAACAGTCCAAAAGGACCCAAACTCATCCTCTACTCTGATAAAGCACTTATGCAGTGAGAGGTTGGTGCGAATGGCACCCTGGGACAAGAGCAGCAGCAAAGGAGATGAAGTGGAAACAAAGGGACACGGGATCGGGGACAGAACAGACATCAAATACAGGGAAAAGGAAAAAGAAAATAAAATGCAATAAGCATAAGCAAATGGTTTGTGAGGGTTAATATGCATTGCCACCTAAAAGCTACTAGCATGTGATGCAACAAACACCAAGCAAGCAGGGTCAGGGTACTGGTGGGCATACAAACAGTAGTGATGAGATGTTTGTCTTGGTTTCCCTTAACTGAGACAATGCGAAACCACCTGTGGTTGGTCTAACACCAGCTAGCAGCCAAAAGCCTCTACGTTAAACTGTAAGCATGATCCGAGCTAGGCTAAGAAGTTCAAACATGGTGGACATACCCACTGATCTTTTGTGGCCTTCGTTTTTGGAACTCTAGTTCATCCACTGTCCATACTGCCCCTTTAACGTTTTCTACTCGCACAAAACACTTGTGAAGACTAAGATTATGACGCACTGCATTCTGCAGCAAGTATAAAAGAGAAAACATTCAAAAACCTTCTATGAGAAAATGCTCATCATTGTCCAAGAACAGCAGCAGCACAGTCAGCTTGACAGTTCTCATTTTGCAATGTTAAGCCCCTTCCCCTCCCCGCACCCGCTCGCTTTTCCCGGCTCTTTACATCTTATTTTGCAAAGACAAAATAAATATGAAAGCTTAAACCCAAGATTAAAAATTCACGTTACTCTTATCAATTATCCCCAGAGTGACTGAGAACAGCCACAATTTTAAGCATGCATGTTGTAGAATATAGCACATTTCATACAGAACACAAGAGGAACATTGCTTAGACTTATTCAAAACAAATATATACACTCTGCAAAGAGAAATTTCTTCCCTCCTGGAAAAGAAAGCAGTTAGAAAGAACAGAAAAGATTTTATGTAAGTACAGTCGACTGGATTTAGCTGTGAGGCACAGGAGCTGGTGTTGCTGTGGTTTCCCACAGCTGGGCTAATGTGATTCAGGTGCTGGACCTCCCTCCACACCCAGAGCACGGGCTGGGGGCTCGGCAGCACCCCACCGGCCAGCCGGCACCAACTCCTGCCTCCACGGCTTGCTCTTATATGGAAGTTGGCTCCTATTTCTGGCAGACTACTGAAGTGACTGATCTGAGCCTCTGCCAAGTGAAAACATGAGGAGGGCTCTCTGAAACAAAGTGCTAATATCTCCACAGCTCATCACCCAGAGGGACCCGTGCTCATGGCATCCGATGGCCGAATGTCCGCCCTGTGGCTCCGTGCTGGGAAGGACGGGCACAGCCAACCCCTCCAACGTGCTGAGACACAGTGAGACACCTCACTAAGGCATGGCAAGCTCTTGGCTTTTCTGTCCCTGCTCCAGGGTGCCAAGAGTTTTGTTACTCCTCAAATGTGGTGCTATGCTTTGTCCCCATTTCAGGGGTTTCCTGAGCAAATATCCTGCAACAACAGTTGGACCCGATGGTCTTAAAGGCTTTTTTCCAACCTAAAAGACTCCATGATTCTACAAAGCCATTGTTCATGGGATTCATAGGAATTTGTACATGGAGCTTGTTCCCAGCACTGCTGAAAGGGGCTTGGGAAACAGGAAAAACAGAAGAAGCCATTTGCTGAAAATCTGCAGGCGAATAAACTCCATCCTCACTGGCACCATTGATTCAGTCAATCTGGTTGACTCGTTAGCAGGCACAAAGCCAGACAAACACATGGCCTGGGTCTAGGCAACCAGGAGATGACAATTTTTTTTCCTTCCGACATCATCCTCCTCTTTTTTTTTCATGAATATGGGGTCTGGATGGTGAAAGGGAGAGCTCTGGTAGCGAATGTCTAAATCAAATGCAAACAAAGGGCATTTGTCATGTAAATCAGGAGGCGGTGGTGTGTGTGCTGGGAGGGGAAGGCAAAGAGTCTTCTGCTCCAATTCCCTGCCATGCCTAGTGCAGTCCCCACACTCCCACCCCAGTAGGAGTGGAAGATTTGGGGTTTGAACTGCCTTTGCTCAGTAGATGCTTGAGTGCAAACACATCTCTGGCTTTAGGTGCCTGATGCAGGCACTTCAGCTTTTCCACACTGATCTGCTTCTGTACTGGTGAAACTATAAACCCCAAATATGCTTTTCCTCTCAGCAAGGAAGAAATCTAGCAGAAAGTCAACCTGTCCATCAGGCCTGCTTCCTTCTGCCCCTTATTTTCTTCTTTCTGCTCTTATGTTTTTAATGTTTTTTTTTTTCCCTTCCCACCTCTTCCAGATTTCAGTACTGTTGACATTTTTGGCAAAATCCCTGATTTTGAGGTGGAGGAAAAACATGTAAACGCCCCACACCTTACGAGCTGAAATCAGCCAGCTCAGCAACTGCTGGTGGGTGCCGCACTAGTGCAACCCGACACAGGGCTGCTGGCCCACATCTGGGTAACTCAGGCAGTTTCCTGTGAAAATGGGAACACTGTCAAGTCTGGAGCAAAATGTAAGAATAATAACACTATTTCCCCCAGTGAAAGCTGATCTTGTGGTTCATAGAGCAGTTGATCACACGCACACGGCAAAGCCCAGCAAAGGGAGTCCTCAGAGTTTGTAAATAGTCTCTAAAGACAGGGCTGAGGAGGAATATTTGTGTTTTTCTTTAAATAAATTTAATGCTGGAGAAATACTTTACAGACTGCTCTTGTTCTCTTGAAGTCCATTTGCAACTGATGGTTAAGGCTGTGGGACAGGGCTCTTGCTGGATACTTTGAGACAGAGAAGTTGAGCATTTACAAGACATCCATGAAGTGTTGCCCTCATTTTCTATTTTCCATGTGATCACTTATTTAAGGAGTTCATGCCAGAAAAAAAAATTGTTGTGTTTCCCCTGCCTCTGGATACTTGCTATCTAACAGTTTCATGTGAACAATACCCCAACGTGTCAGAGCCACACCTGCAGCCTGTGCCTCTTGGCTGTGACTCAGTGCCAGCAAATTACTCCAAAAAATAAAAGCAAACAGACATTGCCTCTGACCTGTCAGAACCAGTTCACAGTACTCCCCCAGCAATCAGCTTAACAGAAAAATTAGGAGCTATTATTGTAAGATTATATATTTACCTTGTTAAAAATATTTGTATGCAAGCCACTTTTGCAGAAAAATTACCCTGAACATGCTTCAATGTAGTAAATGAAAGGGTTTGTTATTTTAATAACTGCTCAGGCTCTGCCATGCTGCATTTTGGGAAAGAGGTTCATTTTTTAAAGGTCTTTATTCTTGCACTTTTCTGTGTTTTTGAAATAGGGCTCAGGGAAGCTTGTCCACACCAAACCCTGACCCTAAACTTGGGGAACGGTGACCGAAATGCCCCCTAAGCATTAGCTGAAGGTGAGCACAAATCAGCACATATATATTCAAATTACTCTGATTCTGCAATTAGCCCCTTGTGCTCGTTCTGCGCCCCGTGGGCTTCCCGTCATGCCAATCCAGAGCTGCATTTTCATCCCTGCTGTTCCTGGGGGCTGGCAGAAATCTGAGCAGTCTCCAGCACAAAAACCTGCTCTACTCCAACCAGTTGTCTATTTTGCTGGTGCTGGTGGATGTGGGGGTGAAGTTTTTCCCTCCCATTACAAGAAGCAGGACCTGGACACCTGCAGAAGGTCAAGGTGTCCAAGGAGGGGTCTGCAAATGGCACCTGCCTTCCTGGGACACACAGTGCCCTTCTACAAGCCTGAGAATCTGTAGCTCAGCCTCTCTGCAGCTCTTCTGTATCTCCACTGGCTTCTGGGACTGGGTTTTTTGGGATGCTAAAAGCTAATTCCCAAAACTAGGCTCACAGGAGATACAGCCAGGACTGCCTGCTGCCTTCTTCCACTCCTTCCTCCACTTCCCTTTGCTGCTCGAACTAAATAGGATTTTTACTTTAGCACCCACATCTGCAGCTGCTGAAAAGCCCTACTGGAACCACTCCAGCAGCAAAAGACAGGCAGGTCTAAAAGGATCTTAAATCAGGGAAAGTTAATTTCCTTTCTGGATAGTAAGGAAGCTGCAAAGTTGAACACTGCTCATGTTTTCCAACTGCAGGGAAGAATCAAAGCAGCAATCACAGAAAGTTTTCCTGAACTTAAGAGCCTGTAGACCAGGGTTGAAAATGTACAAAATTGTGCTGGGATCTGAATGAAACGAAAACCATGCCACTAAAAACCAAGCTAACTTCCAAGGACCATTTTTAGCTCCATCCGCTGAAGGAATTAATCTTAAATGCAGGCTGGGACAGGAATAAAAGAAAGAGCCGATGGAACAGCATGTACAGGACCTATTCATACTACCTGGTCATTTGAAGCTGTTTGACAACAACAGAGCAGTCTGGATTAAGGGAGATTCCAAGCACCAGGGTACAGTTTTTACAGCAACACAACATTGTGCTGTTTGAATCATTCATTTGTGATTGCACTGGATTCAGAAGTCAGTATTATTAAAGTGCTATATTTAAAATGAAAGAGGGGCCCCCCAAAATACAGGATAAAATTAACTCTTATCTAACAGTATCTATAACAGTTGTCGAAGGAAATTAAAGTGTAAAACCCCAAGTTTATTTCTGTTAAAGACATTTCTTACTGAGGAGCTTGCTTCTTGCATATTAAATTCAATAAGCTTCTGCTGTGTGATTAAAAAATACAGAGAGGAAGTTTGTAACAGCTGTTTATGTAGTTAAGAGTCAATTGACTGAGGAAAGAAATCCACTGATCTATAGATCCTAGGGAAAAAAAATGGTTGTTGTGATTAAAACCTGCTTAGCTACAAAGATGAACAGCATATCTTCTACTGACACAAGAACTTTACCTTTTTTTTTTTTTTTTAATTTTCTAATACGTTCCGGCTGAAGAGCCTGAGTTTCCCTGCTCGTAGCAACCACACAGAGGAACTCATGGCATAATCACAGAACATAAAAGCCAATAATGGGGATTCAATTAGTGGTTTTCAAAGACAGAGGAATTTTTTCTGCCAAATATCAAATTGTTCCTGCAGATAAAGCACCCGGCACGTGTCACAACTGCCGATCTAAATTTTTTATGTCCCCATGTCGGGACAATTTATGTCATCAGCAAGGTCTGTTCTGTACAAGGCAGAGAGCAAAGGCAGGAGGTGGGCTCAGCCTTACCTTCCACGTCGCCGCGTTGCGTCGGAAGTAGGCGAACATTCGCGTGAACCAGTTGTAGATTTCGTTTAGTGTTAGCTGTTTTTCAGGAGATTCCAGGATGGCCTTGTGGAGCAAAGCAATTGCAAGATCAGTTACCAGCACACCAGTACAAAACACGCTCACAGTTTTACTTTGCCAGATACAAAAAAGGGAAAGAAGGGAAGAATGAAAAAGAAGAGATTTGGAGCAAAAAAATCCAAAGGAGGGTTTTCACAATATGAACTAAGATTAATGGCTGTATTTAACAGTTCAATGGCAAAATTCAAAATGGAATTATCTAATTGTTTTGAGTTTTTATTTCTGTTTCCTTACAGAAATATTAATTTATTAGTCATTCATAAAGCAGAATCAAAGAGAAATGCAAAACATTTCACTAGCTGATTAAAGCTCAGTAATTATTTAGAGCTCAGATTAATTCTAGGGATCAGAGATTACTGTAGCTTGTGATAATTGACTTGCCATCTTTAAACAGGCTCATTTTCACTGTTGTGTGAAATGAATTTCCTAATAATCACATCGTATTGTAATACTTAATCAAAAGCAATTATGTTATATATTGCAGTTCTAAAAACCCTTATAGTAAAGGTTTGAGCATTTGAGCACGCTTACATACCAAAGGTTTGAAAATCTATTTAATCCAGCACATATAGGGAGATATATTTTTTTCCTAATCCAGACGCGTGTGTTTGGCTCAGCTTACCTGTCTAATTAAAGATGCATACGTGAATGGCGGTCTAACTTCTGCGTTCTTATAAAATTCTTGGTTCTGGGCAATATCTGCTAAATAAGAGCAGTTGTTCTGTTATCATCGCAGCCTGATGCCGCTGGGCGAGCGCGGGGGCTGTGCCAGCGGAACCCCTTTACCTGAAGAGATGGGGACGTTGTACTTGTCCGAGTACCGCCTCCGGATGGGCCCGACGTTGTGCATGCTCGTGGTAGTGATGACCGACGGTCCCTGCGTGACGGGAGTGATGGGCGCAGTCGGGGTGGTGGGAGTATGAGGTAAACTCTGCGGAGACGCCTCGGACGCCGTCTTGGAAAGCGTGACGCTCGATACCAGATTCAGCTGCGGAGGGAAGGATGAGGGGTTCGTTACAGTCACCATTTCTGGATGGTTAAGGGCTGCAGAGGAAACCCTCGATGCTGGAGTGTCTCTCAGCTCCGAGCAGACACTGCAGCTTCAGCACAAAGTGCTGCTCTAACATCTTCATTAAGAGCCAGCAAAGGGAAATAAATATAATAATTACATATATACATTTCCAAATAGGTTTAAAAACCAGAACAACATTGTCTGCTGCCTAAAGAACAAATAATGAATTTAATCTAAACCTTAATAGGAGCTCTTCCACAGTACATGATCATTTTAATATTTTACTTCGAGTTTCATTGTTTCACAGTCTAAACCCCACACCTCTCTGATTTCCATGCTATCATTATGCATGGCTTCTAATCAGTCTTCTTGGATATTTCATTGAAGGCATCAGGCTTAAAATAAAAGGCAAGACTTTCCTAGGGACATGCTAGGGAGAAACGCAATCTCTCTCTTTAGCATTTGGGCTTTTCTTTTTTTCCCTCTCTCTTCATCCATTTTAAAAGCAAGGCCCAGAGTAGGTTAACACTGGAATAATTTAATTAATCACAGTGCATGAAATACTGTGAGCATTCAGCCCAGCACAAGTGGCACCACTCTGTTTTTCCCTCTTAGGATGGAAGGCATTGGTGTTACCTGCACGAAGCCCGGCCCCACTGGTGTGGCAGCGTGCCACAGCAGGCTGTAAAACACACCTGCCTCCAGGATTGGGTATCAAACCCAGCTCCAACCCAACTGTTTTCGATACACAACCCTATTTATATAACCAGCATCCACATTCCTCCCCAACCCTTTCTTTCTGCCCTACAACGTCCTTTGAAAGACGACGCTCCATCCCAATAGGTCGCTGCTGCTGAAGTGTTTTAAACAAACAATCCAATCCCTTAACTACAACATCACAGGAGACAACTGAGAAAAGGGCTCTTTGACTGCTTCCACATTTCTTTCCCTTAGGCGGTTTCACAAATAATATTGGTGAAATCCTGACCCCACTGAAGTCGGTAGCAATATTCCTACTGAATTTAACAGGGCCGGAATTTTTTAAACTTTTGCTAGTGATTAAAATTCCTTTTTTGCTAGACATTAAACCTTCTGAGATGAAGGCAAGGCAAGTGATGCAGCTATGCCCCCAAAATCTCATGTTTATCCATAAGGCACGGTATTAATTTTCCTTGTATGAAAGTAACCAGATAAGAAAACTCCTATTAGCATCCCTCATATGAGTTAACAGCCACAAATAATGTTTCTTTTTAAAAATAATAGGATTTATCCCAAACAAAGGTAGTAGAAAATAAAGAGCTGTAGTATTACAGAGAGGATACCAACACAAAGACCCCATTGCCCACAGACAAGGCTCAGCTGAGAGAAGATAAATTGTGATTGCTTGCCCTTCCTGACAGTGAGAAGGAGCTGAGGGAAGCCCCAGCCACAAACTCCTGGCACAGCCTGGATGCTGCTCCAAGGGAAGGAGGTGGTGAGCAGCAGATGTGCAAACACCCACCTTTCCCTGCAGGTGCTTAAAAATGACTCCTTGCCTTCCAGTGGGAAATATTTAACACTTAGTGGCAAAGCCAGGGAGTGTGAACCCAGCAAGGGATGAAGGTGGTGAAATGCAGGTATTGATCCCCACCCCAGCATGAACCACTACCTCCAGTCTGGAGGTTTAAACCCTCCTGGTGCCATGCATGGCCACCATGTGCCACCCAGTCTGCTCGTTGACTGGCCTGATTTAAGGACACTGATTAGGGACATATATATAGTAATGTCTCCCTGTTATCCATCTATTACATATGATAAAAGGACCAGTGATGATAATAACAGTGCAACTGACAGGTCTCACCATGAAATTAAATCTACTGTATTTTATCTCAGTTTCTAAATGGACATTTTAACAGTCCAATAACTGCAAGGAAATCTGCATCAATTTTAAGTGCCCTTCTCAGTGCAGGCTCGGCAGCTAGGCCCTCCCGTTGGAAAGATCACTGCTCCTGCTTCATCATTACGGCTCCCAACTACTCCATTTCAAAAGGGCCCCCTTCCTTTTTCAGCATGTAAAAACTTAACATTTAATCTGTTTCTACTAGGGAACCTTGAGAAAGGATCCACAAAGGTCAGCATTCCCTGCTTAAAGAATCTGAATTGAGTTAAATTTCTTTAGGCTTTTCAGCGTAGGTAGCGAGGAGGAATAAACACAGAAGAGGACGAGCAAAGGGGGGGGGGCTTTAACAGGCTTGACAAATGACACTGTGATTCACACCCACTGCTGGGCTGCCACTAATAAGCTACAGAGGAAGCAGCCAATCTCAGCTAATTACCAGATAAAATTGTATTGTAAGGACTCTAATTAGGAGATGCTTATGGAGGTGATCTAATGATTAAACGCTGCATCCAAGTGACCCCACCATCAATGTGCAGTGGTGCAAGATGTCACCGGAATATTTTGTAGAAACAGTAATTTTATTTCAAGGAGGGGAGGCAGTAATATTTGTAATAATGGCTATGAGGTAAACTAATTAAAAGACAGTTCCTAAAGGAAGACTGTGGCTTTGAGCAGCTGTGGCCGTTCCAAAACAAAGTGCCAAATCTCAACAGAGGAGCTGCAGTCAAGTGGAAAATTTCTGCCTGACCTCTGCTCTTGCTATTAATTTGCAGGAAACCTAATGACACATATACATATTCCCACAAAATTGTTCTAATTGCTAATTTGCCAAAGGAGCCCAGTTTCCAAATTAAACATGACTGCAGTCTGTGAGGAAAGAGAGAACAAAAAGCTGGAACGCAGCGAGTCTGCCGCGTTTCACCTCCGACGACCATTTGTGAGCCTGAACCAACAAGTTAATGAAACACGACCTTGTCCATTGCTAGCGAAGTTTTTCCGTTTTCCGTGTTTTATTTGATGACACTCTTCTCTTCCAGCTGGGTTCCCCAAACCCGAGCCAGGGTGAGGGAGGAGGAGAGGGCTGCACTCCCTCCGCAGCCTTTCGCTGCTGCTTCCTTTGTTGCATCGATAGCGCCAAGGCTGAAAAATCGGTTGTGAATTAGAGCAGAATAACAAATTATGAATGGTGTTGGTTTTGTTGCCATCTTGAATTATTAATCTGAATGGTAAACTATTAAATCTTAATATTGGTGTCAATTAGAAACGTGGAAGCGGCCGTGGATGACTGTGCAGGGCAAAGATCAGGGAGGGACTGGGATGGGAGGGTTTCTTTTCCTGATGGAAACTCTACATGGTTTCTCCCTGTTTGCATTTGCTATTTAAAAACAAGTTACTATGATTAGAAAAGTTGTTCGCATCGGTATTTTGTACACAGGCTGTTTCCCACATACCGTAGTTTTTGGATGAGTATCACTGCTGGCAGAGGAGAGGGAGCCACAGAGTGAGCACTTCAACAAGCAAGAACTCTTGTACTGCAGCAGTGCACAATGTGGGCACTCACAGAGTACACCCCTGCACCAAGGAGTTAAAATGTTTTTGTAATATTTGTCCTGGGAATGGGGGGAGGGAGGATTTCCTCCAGCCTTTAAAAAACAACCAAACCCAAAAATAATAATAGACAATAATACAAAAGAAAACACACCAAATCCCACAACAGTTCTAAGTCCTAAAATTCTGCAAATTTAATCACTGAACTTTGTTGATTGCTTTGTTCAGTTTTGGTTTTTGAGAATATTTCCTCATACTGTTCTGACTTGGTCATTCATAACTGCCATAATTGTCTCAGCGTTCCTGCTTAGGTATTATTAACCTTCTCTTTCAAGAAACAGTCATGTCTCCCTATTAAAGGTGAAAACTGAGTTACTTGCTTTTTTCTTTAGATATAAACAAGGCAGAGGTAACCCATGCTATTACCCATTTAAAAAAATTATTTCCAGTTAGTGGTTCTCCCACTAGGACTATGTCTCATTTCTTTTTGTGTAAATATTTTACATGACAATAGCAGCTGCGCATAAATAGCACCGAAAATCTTTCAAAAAAGGGGGGAAAAAAATAAATTTGTTTCTAAGGGTCACACTGAGGCCATACCCAGTGACTCCCCTGCAATGTGTGCTGCTGCTCTGGGCCCAGCTGGGGCTGAGCTGAGTTCCTGGGACTGAAATACCTGGGAGAAGAAACTCCTTGACATTGAGGGTGAGAGAGAGAAAGTGAATACTGGGCCTAAAACTTTGTTCAATGCTGTGTCTTCCTCTCCCTGTTTCAGCCTGGACACATCAGTGTATTGGATGCAGAGCCTAGCAGGCAGCAATCACTTAGCAGGTGTTGTTATTGGCAGGAATACTAAGGAAACTGAAGCTGAGGAGTGAGACTTAATGAAAACCAGTATATAAAAACAGCTTTTGTTGTGCTTAAGAATCTCTCTTTATTGCTGCATATCGTTAACTATAAAGTACGGTTACAGCAGCTAAAATGCTCAGTCATTACCTCAACAGTTAAAAGACTTTTTTTTTAATGCTTTGTTATTACAGTTGCTAAAAACAGTATTTCAAAACAATCATAACTGCTATGGTTATGGTAAAAAAAAATACATTAAAGAAGGGATATCTAACAGTGCATCTTATTTAAAGTGCCAGAAGGGTCTTTAAAAGTTTTCTGTCTGTTTTTTAAAGATGGTTATAGCACCTAGCATGAAGAATTACTTGCTGGTTGATGCTTTTTCCTTCTCCTTCCCTTCCTATGAACTTCGACACAAGTTAATCCTCCCAGAAGAAAGCACATTTCCATTTGAACCTATTATGCTGATGGCTAACACCGATGAAAACAGCGTGTCGGGGGGGTACCTTAATAGCAAAACCAGGATGACAGTTCTTGAGAAATCACTGTTCCGGCTTTTGTGTTGTGGTTTTGTTTTTTTACCTTGAAAAAAAGTTCACCTTACCAAAACGCGTCACAGCTTATTCTGTCTCGTGGCTTTGTTCTCACTTTACTCAGGCCCCTCAGTCCCACCAAAACAAAATGTGTAGCACGAACAGAACAACGCTGCCTGCTCTGAGTGCTGACTTCTGAGATAGCTGTTTTCTTTTAAACTCCTGCCATTGAGCGTTTTCATTATAAAGCTTAATAGATTATATTTTAAAGGTGAATCCTGAGCACTGCCCCAGTTCCTGGGATGTTTCTGCAACCCCAGGTCTCCTCCAGCCTGCCCAGCAGCCTCTGAGGAGCAGCAACAGACACCGACAGCACCTCCCTGCCCATGTAGCCAGCCAATGATTTGGGCCATCACCACCACAGGAATGTGCTTAAATCTCATCGACTTTAGCAGTACTAGAGAGCTTTAGTGAGCAGATGTCTTGGTGGGCTGAAATGCAGGAGCCACTCCACCACCCCTCCCAAGCTCAAAATTACTGCAAACAGACATCCAAAGGTGGGGATGGGATGGATGGACATGGCAAGATCAGATATACAACCCTTCCCCAGAGCTGGGTTGAGTTCTGAATTGATGCACAACCATCAAGAACTCGGCTGTGGTCCAACTCCACCTGCTCAACTACTGTCTGAAGCCCAGAAGGCAAAGATGGCCCAAGTGGTCAGAGTGGATTGCACATGGCACATGGTTAACACACATGCTCATACACCCATTATTACCTGCCATTAACAAAATAGCTTAAAACAAGCACTAAGATCCTTAAGCAGAATAAAAACATTTCCTCAGTCATGAAAAAGCTGTAATTTTAAATCCCAACTCACTGCTATGTTTGGATTTGCAGCCGCTTTTTCCTTTAAAATCACCGAAGTACTATAATATATTAGTTCTAACACACACCTTGCATTAGTTATGTTGGCAGAAAAAAAAATTAATTACTGGATGTAAAGACTACTTTGCAGTGCAATAATGGTCATCAGATCTTTTTACCAAAGTCCTATCCCACTGAGTTAAAAGGACGAGGGTCTAGCAGAGTCTATGCAATGCCTGTGTATTTTTTTCACTAGGAAAGCACAATTTATGCAAAACACTATACTTCTACATTTTATAATTAATTTTCAAATGCTTCACCTATACATATTTTAATAATTTCTGATTTATCAGATGGTATCTATAATAAATTTTTCTATATTTCAATAAATGAAAAGAAGGCAGTTTCAATCCAACAACAGAGTGCCACACAATATAGGCCTGTCAGGCACCAATTTTTACTTCTAACATGTAAGTTAAAGGATAAGGAATTTATAATGCTGCCTGTGAACGAAACCACTTTTCATACACAAATGTGATCTTTTTTTTTCCAAAGGGTAATACAACAGTACATTTACATAAACTAATCCAAACAATCTATGTATTTGACAATGGCAAACCTCACACAGACTGCCTATTGTTGGTTTACATCTTGGAGTTCTTTATGTTGGCTTGTAACACTGCTCTAGCTGTCAAAGGTTTGACTTGGACTCTAAATAAATGGTTATAGAAGTGCTGTGCAGCGATATTGGACTTCTTTGCAAAAGAAAACCTGCTGTGTATGAATTCAAAAGCTATTAATTTTTCAGTCAAAAATATTCATGCCTATTTCTTTTAATAAAGAAACACTGTGCTGAGCAACTGAGAGATAATGTTGACTAGTGGTACAGAATTTTCAATAGAGCAGTTAAAAATAAATTTAGTAGGAGGTCCCCAACAAAGCTATAATTTTCCAGAATGTAAAACATTTTTAATACTAATCAAGACAGCCCTTTTCCCCCTGCATTCACGGGTTTTTTTCCTCTGCTTTTCCCTGTTTATTAGCTGTTAACACTAATCTTCATGGCGACACCGCCTGGTATCTCCATAGCCTACAAGACCCACCAGAGCTTCCTGCCCTCGGCGGCCCAGCATCGATCACGAGCTGCCTTGCCAAACACCGCTCGCCTTCTGATGATTTCCTCCCTTTAGTTTGTAATCCTTCCTCCTGAGGGGCACTGCTGTTATGAAAGGCCTCAAGGCAGAGTGCTTTGAGACTCCCAGATTATTCCGCTGTTTTAATTTTTAATCCAGTATGAGCTATAGAAACCAAACCTCCTCCCCATTCTGTTGGGTCTACACACTTCGCCAACAATGCGCTCAAGCATTTGCATTTGGGTTGGGGTGGATGTGAGGAACTAGAAGAATGCTATTTTTATAGACACTGCCAGTAGTTTCTACTCTAGAGGGCTGATGTCCACTGGACCAAACAATTTTAAGCATCTCAACAGCTTAAATGGAAGGGTTTGTACCTACCACTCAACTCCCTCCAAAAAGGCAAGGAAATTTCCCGTTGACTTTGACATCTGCTCCAGTGTTACTGAATAGCCTGCAATTTTCTATCTAGTAGCCTCCCTATGCACTTCTGCAGCCATTTATTTCCAACTACACGGAAACTGAGAAATCCTTTTCTAGTAAAAATGAGTGCGCGAAGTGTTTAATGATTTTATGTTCTCTATCTCTGTAATGTGTTCTGTTTCAGACATTAATTTTGTCTACCAACTGCATCTTGGCAGGCTACCATATTTGCTGGGTTAATAGTCTGACTCCTTTTTATTTCTATCACCATAAATCACACATATATGTGTGTGTGTTTGCTTTATTTATAGAAAAAAAATCAGTCAAAACAGATAAACCAATACTTTGTCATTATGCTGCATCATTGCATATTGATTAAAATTGCTGGTACTAACTATAGATTGTCAACGCTCAATTAATTTTCACACAATGACTCAAAGCAAAATCAAATAAAGCCAGTGTACCTTTAAATCTTACAAATCTTAAAATCAAGAAGCAAAGCACTCTCTCCATTTTGAATAATCATTGGAAGCTCCCAGGAACATTTTCAGCATTAAGAGGCTGAGAGAAAACAACAGCTGAAGAAGAGTCATTGCAGTCAGAGAAGGAAATGGGCAGTTTTCCTGGTTTGGGGGTAACCAGGAGTTTTCTTGGACTGCAAAGCCACTTGCTTCCCCTACTCCCCTTTCTTCAAAAAACAGTCTGAGGTAGAGGAGGCTTCCCTTCTCAGTTTCACCAGTATAAAACCTGATACTGGGTAAGTGTGATTATCATCACTACGTGCAGTTAGAGTCACTTCTACAGTAAATGTCTGTCAGACCGGGAGAAAGCAAAATAAATATACTAAACATAATTTAATTACAACTCCTTCCTAACACTTCCTAAGATTTCATCCAAGTCAGACTGATGCAAAGTGACTTACATGAGGCCAGAAAAAGGCCCAAAGTATCAGCTTTGGAACCAAACTTGACTTTGAAACTCCCAGAAGAGAGGGGGAATGACAAAACCCGGCTGCACTTCCCATCTCCTCCCCACACCCGGCTCTGAAATGGGCCAGGCTCCACAGTGTGGGCTCCAGTGGGGAACAGAAAAGAGAGGCTTGTTGTGAGGTTTGGACGTTGCTTTCAGCACAGTTCAGTACTTACGGGCTGAGGGGTGGCTTTTGGTTCAGTTGACTTCACATGCAGGTGTGTCATCATGGCTTGCAGGCGCTCTTTATCTTTTGCAAGCTGGAAGGGGAGAGGAAAAAAAAAAACCATCCTCTGTTAGTCGTACAAATAAAACCCAGCCTCTGCTTATTCCTAATTAAACAGCTGGCACCGAGGCATGAGACAGAAGAGTTTTATTGCTGAGTAGTTTGGAAATTGTATATGGGCTATTCGTGAGGTAAAGCGAATGCGTGGTGCTGGGTGTCACCATTTCCCAAAGCAAAATGCATTAGCCCTCGAGTGAGAAGAGCTAGACCTGCTGGCACCAAGAGCTTCACTCCAGCCTTGACAGCTAAAAGACAACAGTGAATCATGTTTATTAACCAGCCCCACTGCAGCTTGGGAGGCGCAGCAGAAGGAAGGCAAGGCAGCGGTTCTAAGATGCATTTTCCTTCCCTCGGAGCACAGAACAAGTGGCACAGATGGGCTGTGGCTTTATGTCAACCACAGGCACTGTGGCACATGCAACAAGCACAGCCAGGGGTGGTTAAACCACATGAGGCACCTCCACAGGGCTCTACAGGCAGCCTTGGGTCCAAAAGCACCTTGAGTTGATTTGAGAAAGTGGCAGAACCCTTGGTGGGTCACCCTGGGAAGCCAGACTGGGCACCTGAGCAGGAGCACCCTGAGCCTGGGGCAGGACCTGCTGTGCGAGCTGCCAGTATCCCTCTGGCATAAGCCTGAGGGCAGTGGGGTGGGAAAGGCTGGAAGCAGCAGTAACTGCCCCAAAACACTCATCCCTGGGTACCCAATGCCACAGGATTGATGTTGTCAACCTTCCTCATCAGCCACTTGAGGCCCAAGAGTTGGGGTGAAGCCCCTGCTCTCAATGTCTCTTGTATTTTATGGTTCAGATCCACATAGCTGGAGTCTTGAGATCATTGGTATGCATCCATTGCCTGGTCAGCTTCCCAATGCATTTCAGTGCACTGGAAAGACACTAAATTTCATTATTTTTGGAAACAAGGAATTTTTTTCAATGTGTGAATTGGACTTTTTTCCAGCTGCTCTTCAAAAAAAATTACAGCGGAAAGATATTAAGAATACTAATGAGAAAGGGGTGCTGTTAACCTGCACACTGAACATAAAGGTTGCTGCTTCCAACAGGAGCTGGTTCTTACAAATGCCAGTTTTTGCAGAGATGAGTTTTTGCTTTAGACAAGCCAGATTCCTTGTGCCAAGGGAAGAACTGTGCTCATATTCCAGCAAAACTTTTAACAACCTGCCCACCTCATCACCGTCATCTGTTTAGAGAAGTAAAGTGGGGCTAAGTGTATATAAAAGGAGACTTGATTATAAATCCCCACTCAATAACCTTATGGCCAAAGTCGTCCTGCACTTCGCAAGGCGAGGGGTTTGGGACTGTGCCATGATGGGATAAAACCTGGCACGGGAGTTTCCAAGACAGGAATGAAATAAAGGAAAAAAATTGTGTCACTGCACTTTTCAAATGGCTCTTCTTCTTTTGGACAAAAACCTCAATGGCAAGAGAGAGAACCTGACACCTATGGCAGATCTCCTGCAATCTCACCCTGACCTGAGCTGGACACTTCATGGAGAGCTGAGGGCAGCGACAGGCTCTTATCGCCACGCTGCAGCAGAACTTCTCCCTCTGAGAACCTCTCCAGAGAAAGGAGAGGGCTCACCCTCAGCTGCTGTGCTTCATACAAAACAAATTAAGCCAAGAAATAGCTGTGCTCTCCGCGCAGCTCTGTTGTGCAATCCCTCATTCCTAGCAGTCTCCGGGCACATGGGCTGCTTGGCGGGGTCATCTGTGCGTTAAATTTTGGTCTGCAGGCTACTGCAGGAGAACAACATCTCGTAGCCAAAATAAATAAAAGGCAGGCACCTGAGAGCTTCCTGCCAGCCCCGGCGTGGCAGCAGGAGGGGATGGCACCCGGGCAGCACAGGGCACACCCTGCCGTGCGTCCCCCGGCCCCCGCGGCGAGGGAGAGGGGAGAGGGGCACCTCCCTCCCACCGAGCTCCTTGTTTGTAGTGTTTCCACTCATCGTCTCAGCAATGCTTTTAACGCCCAATCTGGTGGATGGAGGTTATTAAAGATCCTCTCGACATTTCAGGCAGACACACGCTAGCATTTTGTCATAGTCTAGGAATTCAAACACTCACCCAGTTAGGCAGGAGTTTAAATTATGAAAAATAGAGGTCTCTCGGTTTCAAAGCACTGAAGAGAAGTAAAAAAATCTCAAGAATTTCTTTAAACTGTTTTTCCCTTAGGTCAGGAAGCAGTAGTGATATAAAACTAGAGTGTCACTAGTAGCCCCTCTGGTCAGTGGGGTCAAACAAAAGCAGCTATGGGGGATTGCTCAGCCACTGGTGGGAGTAAATCCTCACTGGTGGGAATCACTGGAGTGTAGATGGTCCAGAAACAGGGATTAACACTCATCAGGCAGGGAAATGCTCTTGATCTACTGATAATCTTCTTGGGCAAGGACATTTCTGACACGGAGGTAAGAATCTGCTCTGTACATAGGGCCTGAGGAATACAACACAGTCCCATCTGAAGCTTCCTTCTTTCTTCCAATATCCTTTGGAAAGCTCGGCATGGAGGGAGTTTTCAGACAGCCATCCAGCTCTCCATGATAAGCCTGATTTTCTAAGACTTCCTTCACCTCAGGATGTACAGTGTGTGTGTCTAACTGTGGTTCAACCAAAAAAGACACACAGCTTGCCCTGGAGAGGTTAAATTCTACAACTACCAGTAGGAAAGGCACAAGAGGGAAGCATAGAAAGCACAAACCAGAAGGGGTTCCAGACAAGGGAGTGACTGCAAGAGGTGGAGAAGCAAGAGGAAAGGCATTAGAAACAGAGATGATGGAGAAATTGTACAGGAGGAAAACCAGACAGAAAATAAAGGCAAGAATCAGGAATGAGGAAATGAAAATCCAGTATGGAAATTCAAAAAGAACAGAAGAGCACTTCAGCAGCAGGATTTTGGACAGACCAAGGACAAAGGAGAAGGAAGTCAGTCACAGGCAATGCAAGAGGCAGCCAAAACACAGCCCTCCCATTCAGTGCCTGGCTAGGCTGTGCACTAGAAAGGTTCAGAATCCACTTTTCAGGAGTGTCAGTGGATGCTGCAGGAAAACAAACCCTAGCAGTGTTTTCACTGCACTGAAAATGGCCAGCTGCCTTCATTTTCTCCCATTAGGAGACACTTCTCTAGACTCATCAAAGCCCTGCTGCTATCCTGAAATGTTTTCCCACTCAAAGGTACTGCTGCAAAATGGATGTCCTATTCCAGCTAACAACTAAGGACAGGGGTATGTTCTTGTGTTTGTGTTTTACTCAGCAGCACAATTTTCACTATTTATAATGGCAACAAATGGTCATGTCAAGATGGTTTAAACAAAATGAAATGTGAGAAGATTTCTACCTTGCCTGTGATTTTTGAAGTATGTTTGTGATGGAAATGCTAACACCAAACTTTTGAGATTTCTGCTAAGGAGCATTTGCAATCAAATACGAAACAGATTTTACCTGTTTCTTTCCAAAATTTTCATTAAAAATTACTTTAGAAGCTATTACACTTATCTGTAACACTGATAAAACTATCATGAATAAAATAAATAACAGCAGGATCAACAACAACAAAAGGATAGCATTTGGGTCCATCATACTCAAAACCTGAAGTATATGCCTCAGGTGAAATGAATTTGTTTTGATGGGGCTGTACATGCATTAAATGGTAGGGAATGTAGATCTTGCCCTGCTGCTAGACCCTGAAGCTGCACTGTAAGGCAAAGCTGCTCACCAGTGCTGCAGATCAGGGGTAAAGACTGCGGGTCCCTTTTCTATCTAACTCACAAAACTCAGTCTCCAGAGGGCCTGTCATCACTCTGCTGGAATCTGCTCCATGGCCTGAGGATCAGGTCAGTGATCAGTGGGGTGTTCACGTCACTGAACACCCCACTGCTGGGCACCACACTTGTATTGTGGTTCTGTGTAAAAACACACCACAGCCAAACTAGGGACTGCAGGGCAAATCCTTCTACATAATTAGGGGCTCTTCTGAACTATCAGACAACTATTACAGGATGAAAGGAGAGGGAGAAAAGGGAAGCTACAGGTAAATTTCAGAAGCTGGACCACCCTCTCCTCCTTCACCTGTCCTTCCTTGCTGGCCAATGCAGAGATGGTCTCACTTTGTTATCAACACTCCTGTCTAAATCAGGCCTCCAGTTCATCCTGCCTGCCCTCCTCATGTGATTGTTAAATCCAGAACTTTCTGGCCCTCACACCACTTTGAAATTATGGTCTTGTCTTGTGGACCTTATGCTGTCCTCCCTTGCAATGACTCTGAGCACTGCCAGCACTAAATGGGTGTGAAGCTGTAAGTCATTTAGAGCAATTAGTAGAATGCACTGCTGATAAACCTTTCAAAAATGCTGGCATGGGCTAAGGGAGAGGTGGGAACCAAATCTCTCTGTCCTGTCCCTGTCTAACACAGGGCATCCTCCTGTAGTTCCAGGCACAGCCATTCCCAGTGACTGTGGGAGAGAAGGATTACTGCTTTTCAAGCTGACTGTAACTGAAGAATCTAAATCTACCTTCAGCCTCAATATTACTGCACCTTGGTGAAAGATTATCTCATATCTCAGTTTACCAGGAAGACTGTAGATTTTTATTTTTCTTTTCCTAATTCCCAAGAAACTTGTTAAAATAACAGATCATTTCTCATAACATTTTCTGCAAGACTCTGATACTTTATGACTGGTAGTCTGATTTTTATAAAACTTGTATTAAAATAGTTTATACTGCTTCAGCTAATAGTGAAAGAGTGTCATGACCAGTGTGTTCCTGAAAGTGAAATTTAGGAAATGTCTATGAACGAAAAAGGGTAATTTGTAAGATAAGAAGATAAAAAGCATTTTTTAAAAAATGCTTATCTTGAAAAGTAACAACAAGAAGTTTAAGTGTGTTTTTGCTGATTTTTCTCTCCAACTATTTGAAGCTATAAATGACTTAACTCAGTAAAATTCCAAATGTAATTATCTTCTGTACTTAGCCCAAGGCTTTCCATATATCTCTACACTGCTGTCTTGCATACAAAATAGGTTTTTCAATAGCTGGTAACTATATAATGTACAACATTGTTTTAATTTCCCCTTCTTTGCTAACCTCTTGCCTACACACAGACACACTGTCACAGCCGCCCAGCCAGAGCAGCAAGGTGCAGGGAGACAGAAAGGACTCAGAAGCATTTGGAAAGGCAATTACACAAACAGCTCATACCTTTGCATCACCAGCAATATATTCCAATTTACCCTCTTTTGGCAGTTTACAAAAAAAAATTATTTGCTACAAATGGCAAAAAAATAATAGTAATAATAATAGTAGTAATAATAATAATATAAATAGTAATAACAACACGGAGAGTATTAGTACATGAAAGACCACCAAACAAGCCAGGTCATGCAGTGTTTGGAAATAAACATCAACCATTTCCCCCATGTAACAACAGCTCCAAATGAAGGGGACCACATTCCTCTCACCCCCCCTCCAGCCCCCCAGGTGGGTATAAAAGCATTAGACACAAACTGATGGCTTTCCAATCCTGGTTAAGTTTCCTATTTCTTTGCAAGTTACGGTTTAGAAAAGAGGAAATGAAGCTGCAGTTTCTTTTGATGGTTTTTAAAACTACTACAAGAAGGTTTTGAAAGCTGGTTTTCAATCACAGGGGGAAAAGCAGAACTCATTTTTTATTGCTGTCGAGAATTGGATTTGATTAATACTGAGGTAATATTAAAATAAATTTTATTTTACCTGTAGCTCTAACTGCTGTACAACCTGCATTTGTACTCTACATTGGGCTGTACTTCTATCATCCAGCGCATGCTCACTGTTGAGATGTCTGTAACAATACACAGAAAATCATTAAGTGAAATGGATAAACAAAAAGGAAAAAAGTAGTTACCAGGATGAATAAGCAATCTGAATGTTATCCAGCATGTTTTCTTCAATATTGAGACTTTTAAGGTAATTTTTCAATTTTTGTCCTCTGTCCTGCTTTGGCTTGTGTTTCTTCCCATCACTCATTGTATCTTTTATTATATTATATTCACAATTTTTCAGCAAAAGCCTCATTTATACATAAAAGAAATTTTGCAGAACAGTAGTTTTTTCCTCCTTTAGGCAAATGAAAACAAGATCAAGAAATTATAGTAAAATAATTTCATATATAATTTTACATTACTTTACTATATGATGCTGGATATACCTAAATGGACACATGCAATATGTGAATAATTAAATCCCACAGAACCCTCATGTTTACATGATT